CAGTGGCTGAAAGGGTAGTGGGCGGGGAAGAAGAGCACACCTGGCCAATGGCACACCAGTAGTCTTGACTGGCAGCCGACGGGCCAGTGGCTGAGGGAGCGCATGCAATCTCGCCACCCCATAGGCAATTATATATAAGAGAGATCAATTCCATGGTTGTTTCCATTGGTTTCAGTGGGAAATTCATTTCCGGATAAATTCATCCACACAGCTCCATTCGGGTTCTGTTTCCTGGACACACTAATCTGGTACCGAATGTTGGGAACTGGCTTCTAGAAAGACTCCCACATGCTCAGCGCAATGAACCTGCTGCTGGTTGGTGCTGCCCTCTATGAATAGCAGTTTGTTATGTATAGGACATATACATGCAGGGGTCATTTTGTAGAAAAAGAGGTGCAGGAGCTCATTAGCATAACTCATTAGCATGACTGATTTGCATATGCCACACCCCCTGACATTACCGCAAGTGTGTCAGAAGGCAACACCCACAGCTCAGGCTCCACTGGACTTTTTTGGATTGCTTCTTCCCTTCGCCTCCAAGTGGGGTGAAGGAAAAGGCGGCGGGGGGGGGATCTCAGGCGCTTCTGCTTGACAGAGGGGTCCGTCTGTGCTCTGCCTTGGTCTGTCTGTGGCAGGCATAACTCCTCAAGAGAATAAAGTGGGGCATCTCAAAATGGACTGCTGGCTCAAATATGAACATGTCAGTTGCAGTGCCAAACACGGAAGGAACTGGAACATCTTGGATTGTGCATCCCTGCCTAGACACACCGCATCCCTGCTTTTTTGCATTAGAAGTGACGGGTAACACTGTGGCAGGCAGAACTCATCTGGAACTAAAGCCGGGAGCCTAAAACTCTCTAAGAACTGGCCACCCCTTCAGGACAATGGTAGGACGTGCTGTACCAAAAATGAAGGGCATCTGGACCATGCTGGCACAGATTAGCCCCACAACATCCCTCTGCTAGGCTTATTCCCCAGAAGTCAGGAAAGTGTCAGCGACACCAACAGGGAGGGTGGAAAAAGTAACTTTTCTCCCTGGTTTGTCAGAGCAGCTCTGGAGCCGTCTCAGAAAATAGGATGGTTGAGTAGAAAAAAGAATGTGCATTTTCTTTCCCCCCTCCCCCCGGCCGCCTCTTGCTTGCAAGATCTCTGGCTTGCTACCTAGGGTTGCCAACTCCTGGGTGGGAAAGTTCCAGGGCTCTTTTTGTAGCAGGAACTCCTTTGCATATTAGGCCACGCACCCCTAGCCAATCCTCCAAGAGCTTACAGAGCTCTTCTTACAGGGGCTACTGTAAGCTCTTGGAGGATTGGCTACATCAGGGGTGTGTGGCCTAATATGCAAAGAAGTTCCTGCTGCCAAAAGAGTGCTGGAAATACCTAAAGATTTGGGAGGCAGAGCATAGGCATAGAGGGGACTGGGGGAAGAGCGAGGCCTCCGCGGGGTATACCGCCATGGAGTCCAACCTGTCAGGTAGCCATTTTCTGTCCTCTGGGGATCAGTTCTAATTCGGGGAGATCTACAGGCCCCACTGGGAGGTTACCAAAAACAAGGGAAGCACACAGTATAGAATCACCAACAAAAAAACAACGGTGTAATGAGGTCACAATAAAGCATGGATTGCAAATTTATAGCAATAACCGTGACATACTGTAAACATTGCCAACAATAAGTATGAATCCTATGAAGGAGCACCCCTACAAACAGTGATGATCCATAGATGCAAAGGGATCCGGATAGCCCAATAGTCTTCATAGAGTACTGTCAAAAACAGGAAACGAAGGAAGCAGCAGAACACGAGATCCTCAGATCCAGTAACTTTTGGCCGGTTACCAAGCTGCTTGGCCAGTTTCCCAGCTACAACCTTCCTTAAGTCACCCCTTCAAGCATTCCAACTCCTTCCTTCCTTCACTGCTTTGTGGTTCCCTTGCATAAATCCCCCCTCCCAGCCCCACCGGCTTCAGATGCAAAAAACCAACAGCTTCCCCCCCCCTCCATTCCTAGATGTGTGTGGGGAGGAGAGCAGTCTCTCTCTCCCTCCCCCATTTTTTCCTGCGAACCGCTTTTCTCCTTCCCAGGCAGGGATTTCCCTCTTCCTCCCTCTGTCTCTGGGGTTACAAGTGGAGAGTTTATCCCTGGGGACAGAGCAAGCCCTTAAAGGCAGGGGGAGAGGTCCAAATCCAGCCTCCTGTCTTTGGACTCCAGGTTCTGTCTCTTCCCTCTTTTTAAAAACTCCCAGACGGGCCCTTTCTTCCTACATTTGAGATCCTGTGTTTTCACGGGGCAACAGAAATGCAATTGTGGCTGAGAATGATCCCAGCCTTCCTCCCTTCCAAGATTTAATTGTTTGCACACACACACGCGCGCCTTACTTCTAAGTAAACCTTCCTGGGATGCAGCTGCAAGGCTTTTCCTGGCTGTTGCAACTCTGAAGCCCTTCCTGTTCCCTTTCCCAATTCAGAAGTAAACCCTCCCATGTGTACTCTCTCACACACACAGAGGAAAAGAGCCTCTCAAGCAAACAGCTCTGTGGGTTTAACCCTTTCAGTGCTGCAGAGAAATGAAGAATGTTTCCCATGAGGTGCTTCAAGCCAGGCTGCTTTCAGGAACGCGTTATGCAGCTCAGTGGGGCTACTTTGATGTGAGTTGACCTACGCCAGAGGTCGATTCGGGGGGGATCGCAGTTCCCCTGGGTGAGGTGCGGGGGCAGGGCACACAACAAAGCCCCACCCCCTGCTTCCGGCCGCCCCGCTTCCGGCCCTCATTCAGCCAGGAGGAGGCAGGAGAAGAGGGAGGGTAAGTTGCTTCCTCCCCGCCTCTCCCCACCCCTGCCTGCCTGGGGCCAGGGAGGGCCTTGGCGGGGCTTCCTCGCACTCCCGCCGGCCGGGACCGTTGGGGGCAGGGTGTGTGGCCTTATGACACACTTCCGGTGATGTCAGGGGGTGTGGCATATGCTAATGAGTTATGCTAATGAGTTCCCCTAGCTATTTTTCTACGAAACGACCCCTGACCTGCGCTATGGCAGAAATGTGTGCCTAACAGTGAAAAGCTGTGGGCTAGTGTACCCTAGCTCAGCTTAGAGGGAACTCTGTCCACCACCACCCCACACCATCCAGGCTGCCTCCTCCTGGCCCGACTGAGGGTTGCCGCTCCTGGGCTTGTTACTGCCGGAACGATGTTCCTGCTCGTTTTGGCTGGAAATGAGCCCTGTATACATGGAAATTCTCCCCCCCCACACACAAATTACTATGCTTTTAGATTGCTTCTTACAAGAAAAATAAAGTCCTAGATATTGTGAACCTAGAACAATAAATAGCTTTTTACACACACACAGACACTTCTATACATAGTCACCCAATTCCATTTTGTGGGCTCTCACAAGGTTGCATCCTTTCTCTGGCAACCGGCAGTTGGTTGGAGGGCAGATCCTGCTGAGATCTATGTCACTCAAGATGACAACAGAACTTCTGGGTGAAGGCCAAGAAGTATTGTTACTCACCACTCCAGGGATTTCTCTGATCCCACAGATTGGTGGGATTCCTAGATTGCCGCTTGACACGTTCGATGGCAGTTCTGGGACTTCATCAGAACTGAAGCTGCACTGAGCGATACCAGTCCCACTCCCACTCCCATTTTCCCCACTGCTCCAGTTAATGTTCATGGGGAATGCGAGAGAGCTGATGCAGTGTTGTGCACTGAACTGTTGTCTGAAGTTGGTAAAAAGTTTTTCTTCATACCTGGTACCATTAGAAGGATCTTTGTTAGGAGAAATCCCCGGATCTGGAGATTAATCCCTTGGGCCACTTCCGTTTTATGTACAGTGGGGGCGAGTGAGTTCTTTTACCCGTGTATACAGAGAGCAGAATCAGAACGGACCCTCCTATTTTCCCTTAGAAAGAGACAACACACCTGATGTTTAGTAATGATTGTTGTCTTTACTAAATATTGTTAGTATTCGCAATCATATAAAAACTGATGCACTCACACAAACACACAAGGTCCTTTAGTTACAGTAGGAATACAAAACAATCAGTATGACAAATGATAATACTTGACTAACTGGATAGTAACACACAAGAGGATAGCGATTGATACTTATCTGATCCGGGCGAGAAGTAAGTCTTCTCAATGGAAGAGGCAGGAACAAAAGATCTATCTTTAGGGACTCTAATTCACATGGATGGACCAGCCAACACGTGTGGGTTCTTTTGATCGCAATCCAAGAAAACATGTAAGAATCACCTGCAGTAGACTTAAGTTGCAAGGTGGGGTAAGTATGGCTAGCAACGAACAAAGGATGAACATCGCCTTTTAAAACCTACTTTGGGGGTTGGCATCAGTGCCAACCTCCTAGCTACAGTCCGTCCCATTCCCTTGACCTATTGGCTATTGGGATGTGACATATATATCTAATGGGAGTGGGCAATTTGAAACTCTACCCTATAACTCAATGGAAGCATCTGGTCAAGGTGTGAACAATCGGTACCCAGGAGATTCTTTGATGTGTAGATGCTTGGACTGGCTCTCAGGCATTAAACAGGAAGATCTCTGTTGATATGCTAACCAGTACGGGGGTTACGTGTCATCCAAAGATCCTTCATGGTGGGATAGTTGTTGTTTCCAAGAGTTCTTTCTGCTGAGCACAATGGAGAATGCTTCTCTTTCCCAAGGCAGGATGGGTAGGTGTGTGTCTTCATTAGCATGCCAATGCAGGCAGTGCAGGCCAAGCACATAGCATAGCATACACAGCAAGCATACACAGCATTTCCCAAACCATACACAAATGCAGATACATTCCATACACACAAGCAGCAAGCACATAGCATAGCATACACAGCAAGCAAACCACACAGCATTTCCCAAAAAATACACAAATGCAGATACATTCCATACACACAAGCAGCAGCACAATACAGATAAAAAATACAATTTTAAGCACACTTGCCAACATCTTACATGGAAGGATATGATTACTGTATCTCACTTTGGTTGTTTTGGGGGTTAAAAGACAATACAAGAAATCAGATACAGAAACATTGTTGTTGTTTTCTTTATATAGCAACAATTGAAGAATTGAAGTCTAAATTTTGAACTAAGTTATGTCTCTGATCGAGCTTGTAGGGGTTCTGCAGATAGGTATATGAAACACGAAGGTTATGCTGAATCTGAAGTGTCCTTGTTAGGTGCAGAAGAGGAGGATGGTGTGTGGAGGGAAGCAAAACATGGTTGGATGTTAAGATCGTGGCAAAGCACATAAATTGTAGGCCTTTGGGGGCGCCGTAAACCCAACTGCAGGGGTCAGGTCCAGGTCTTCTCTCAACACCCCAGGGGCTGGCTGGAAAGTGAATCTCTGCAGGAGAGTCACAAAGAAGAGGAAGAGCTCCATTTTGGCCAGGGTCTCACCAGCACACATTCGCCGACCTGTGACAAGGCAGAGGGGGCAGGGAAGCCCTGTTATTTAAACTTGTTTTTAAAGCTTTATGCCATTTCCACCATGGAATTATGGGCAGAGTAATTTACCACAAATAGATAGAATTAGATATTAAGGCAGACTAACGTACATAGTATCAGAATGATTAACGTTACTGAGGAAGAATGGTAATCTTGAAAGAATATTTGAGAAATGGGCACCTGGGTTGGGTTTCTTTTGAGTAAATGGATTTAGGAGTGTGATCCATTGATTGATTAATTGATTGATTGTCAAATTTATACCCCGCCCTCCCCACAAAGCAGGCTCAGGGCGGCTTCCAATAACATAAATACAAATAAAAACATACATAATACGTAATTAAAACATCACAGTTAAAATAATACATTACAAAGTGGTAGAAGAGAAGAAGAAGAGGTTGGATTTATACCCCACCCTTCACTTGGAGTCTCAGAGAGGCTTACAAACTCCTTTCCTTTCCCCTCCCCACAACAGACACCCTGTGAGGTAGGTGGGGCTGAGAGAGCTCTGACACAAACTGCTCTTTTTTCAAGGACAGCTGTGCCAGAGCTTGTGACTGACCCAAGGTCACATCAGCAGGTGCAAGTGGAAGAGTGGGGAATCAAACCCGGTTCTCCCAGATTAGAGTCCGCACACTTAACCACTACACCAAACTGGCTCTCTTTACAAAGTGCTAGCAGCAGTTAAAAATTCAGTCAGATGGAATGCTTTCAAATGGATTTCCAACTTCCAGCATAGAAGTGCTTAGATGTTATTCTGCTCGTCAACTCTTATGACAGCTGCTTGATGATGACATTGGGGGCCGTGCACTACAGCGGCGGTGGCCCCTAATTGTATGCCTAGCAGAAGAGCTCCATCTTGCAGGCTCTGTGGAACCGTGAGAGGTCTCACAGGGCCCTGATCTCCTCCGGGAGCTCATTTCACCAGGTAGGGGCCGCCACCGAAAAGGCCCCGGACCTCGTAGCAGCTAGTCTGGCCTCCCTCGGGCCAGGGAGGGTCAAGCGATTTTGAGACCCCCCCAGTGATCAATCTAAAAGGAGTTACCTGCAGAGAAAGGCAGGAAGGCATCCCTCTTGACAAACTTTCCTTCGGAGTCAAGGAAGTGCTCGGGATAGAATTTAAGCGGTTTCTCCCACTCAGATTCATCATACAGCACAGAGTACAGTAACGGAATGATATGGGTTCCCTGGAAAGGCAAAGAGATGAGTTATTGAAGGAAATGAGGATGGCCCATCAAGGACATAAGCTATCCTTCAGACAAAGAAAATGCCGTCCTACAAACAGAGTTCCCTGCGAATTCAAATGCAATGAAAGCAAAATAAAAAAATTGACTTGGATCGACCGTGTTTTCAGAATTTGAGTTTTTTGGCAGAATCCGGGCAATAATGCTGCAAGGGTCAAGTTACATCAAATAAAACAGTATCAAAATGTGTATTTATTATATGGTATATACAATGTATACAATATATACAATAGCAGTTCGAAAGCAAGAAATTGCAAGTAGATAAATAGGTACCACTTCGGTGGGAAGGTAACAGCGTTCCATGCGCCTTGGTGTTTAGTCATGCCGGCCACATGACCACGGAAACGTCTTCGAACAGCGCTGGCTCTTCGGCTTTGAAACGGAGATGAGCATCGCAACCTTAGAGTCGGACTCGACTGGCTTTCGAGCAAGGGAACCTTTACCTTTATATACAATGGCAAAGATTAAAAACATAAAGTCTGAATATCAGACTGCATAAAACACCAACATGAGCTTCACATAAGATTTAGAAATTTCACGTACCATGTGATAAATATATGTCATGACCAATAAGACCAGACCCGTTTCGGCCTCTAGGGCCTTCCTCAGTGGGCAGTAATATCTACTATTTCAAAAAGACACACATTCAGAATATGTATAAATCCAGAACAGGTGTTGCTATTTGAAAATTCAACAAAAAAGGCCACATAATAATTATAAGCTTTATAAATACTATTCAATTTTTTTTTGAACATTTCTATAGAGAGATCAAACTTGGAAAATTCCAGAGAGACATTAAAGCTTTTGAAGAGGGGAGAATTTGTGGCTGGTCATCACAGAAACAGAATACCTAGCAGAATATAGTTTCTACCCAGGTCACTTAAAGAGGAACTTACTATATTCCCAGGTATTAAGACTGTAGGAACTGCAGAGCAGATGCTGATTTTCAGAGACAAGCAGCTATTTGGATGAGCTAACCTTTAGATAGGGGTTATTCTTCAAGAATTCTAAAAAAGAGCTTTCTTTCGGGTTTACCATACACCAAGGACAATTTTACTTACCCCAAGAGCTACAGAACAAGGTGCAAATACGATTATAACTCCTTTATTTATTTATTTTATTATCAGATTTATACCCTGCCCTTTAATTTACAATAGCACATATAAACCAGTACAGGCAATTATAAAAAAACAAACAAAAAAGTCATCTTCTGTCTAACATCCCCAGATGCTGAAATGCTTATGGTCATATTGGTCATTTGATATATTCATCAACTTTGTGAAATCCACATTGTATGTGAAATTACTAGTTTATGTAAAGCTCATCTTGATGTGTTATGAAGTCAGACATTCAGACCTTATGTTTTTAATCTTTTCCATTGTGTACACCACATAATAAACATATATTTCGATACTATTTCATTTGATAAGGGGTAATTTCATAGAAAAAGAGGTGCAGGAGCTCATTAGCATAACTTATTTGCATATGCCACACCCCGACATCACCGGAAGTGTATCAGAAGGCAACACCCACCACTCAGGCCCCACTGGACTGTTTTTTGCTAGCTATGGGGGGGGGGAACATGCAGATCTGTCCTCACAGAGGAGGGAGAGTTTGTACCTGAATAAAACTTGGTCTTATAAGTGCCACTGGACTGTTTTGGACTGGGGGGCCGGGGGGAGCTCTGCAACTTACCTGGCTGCTTCTTGCTCTGACTGAGGGCTGCTGGGAGCAGGGGGTGGGGCTTGTTGCATGTGCCCGCCCCCTGGGCTCTTTACTGCCAGAGCTCCGCTCCTGTGCGCTCCTGCAGGAAATGACCCCTGCATTTGATGTATTTTGACCTTTGCAGCATTATTGGTATATTTTGGATTGAGTCTGTTTTCCCCTTTTTCTTCATTTGTTACAATCCAGGCACCTCCCCATTGATTCCGTTAGACAAATCTATGGGACGTAGAAGAACTTCATTAACTGACTCTCTTTCCATGAAACTAAATGTTCGTTGCAAAAAATTCACAAATGTGCCGTATTCAGCTGAACAAGGAATGTAAAGCAAAGAACGATCACCTTTGGGATGAAGTAGTCTCCAAGAGTGACGTCTGCAGCGGTGGCATGTGGCACGTTCATGGGGACAATATTAGCAAACCTCTGGACCTCGTGAACCACCGGTGCTCAATCCGTGGCTGAGCAGACGCAATGACCTTTGTTATTTCTTCTTGCACTTTCTCTGAGAAAACAGAACATTTCCCCCCCCACCATGAATTAAATTTCTGTTTCAGATTTTAAACTATTCCCTAAAAATACTGGGGGCATCTTTAAAGGCATGAATGGATTTTGAATTCTGCTCTTGAAAAAGTGCCCCCCCGGTCAGGGATCTGTTGACGGAGGGGGCCTCTCTGTTCAGCCTCGGGCTGTGATCTGCTACAGACCACAAGAGGGGGGGGAGAAAGAGGGTGGAACCCACATGGAAGTTTTGAATTTGGGGAAGGAGGACGTCCGTGCTCCCTCTAAGCTGTGGAGTCTTGTGAGCAAAAATTCTACTTTGTGAGCTACTGGCATTAAAGCTGTGAGCAAGTGATTTGGCTACTGCATAACTTAATTATCTCTGTAGCCATCCTTCCTGAGCTAAGACAAAAATGTGTGAGCCAGAGGCTAAAAAACTGTGAGCTAGCTCATACTAACTCAGCTTACAGGGAACACTGGAGGACATTAAGCGGAAGACTGCAGGGAGTAGTGATTTCTCTCTGGGAACCTAATGCTGGGACAGCAGAGTTGTTGCTTCTTGGAGGGTGTTGTTTCACTTCACAATAGCAATAAGTATCTATTTTAGTCTGCATTGGTCTCTCACCTACAGCAACCAAACTGAGACACCCTGGTGCATGTCCTATGAAGCACTTTCTCCACCCTTGCTGTCACTTTTGGCCACCAAAAGATTGTTTTTGCCCCCCAATCCGGAAGAAAAGACAGACACATTTGTTGGGTACTGAACAGGCCACTTTATTACTTCCTTAACAACTATAAACAACAACAAACAACCCATGAACAGCAAGGGTGATAGAGATTGTGGCATGGCCAGGCCAGGGGTCCCGGACCCCTCCCCAGCCATTGGTATTAG